ACACTGATCATTTATTGAACAGGATGGAATCATTTCAGATTTAAAGAACTTTCAGAAGTTTGAGGAAAGGTTGATAAAAACAGAAAGGGTTTAATTTTAATCTCCAGAAATGAAAACCTCGACCGTTAAGAACGGTTTCCATTTCACTTCTCCTTTAAAGTAAAGTTTCAGATCAGATAAAGTTTCTATCTCAGTGGAAGTTTATTAAAAGCTGCACAGAGAGGAGCCCCAGACTCCCCACATTCCTCCTTAATCTGATGCTCCTGCCTTCAGTCAAAGCTGTGTGCGCAGGGAGATCCAGGCTGCTAATAAAGTCTGACTCCTCCTCGTTTCAAAGGTCCTCCAGCCTGAAAGCAGGAGCAACATAAACAAGAGGAGTAAGGCATGGGAGCAGAGGAGCAGGGAGACGCTGGAGCTCCCCTGGAAGGGAAGAAAGCTCAGAAAACCTCCAAAGACGTTTACTTCTGCGTCCTCCCTGATAAATACGAACCCCTGATAGAGGAGTCAGAGGAGGCGGAGGAGGAGAGGAGGAGGAGGAAGGAGGAGAAGAAGGTAAAGAGGAAGAAGAGGTGCAAGAAGTGCAGGAAGGTGAGTCCTAAACTCTTCTGTCCTCCTTCTGTTTCTTTATTTTGGACGAAATGTGTAAAATGCTGAGATCTAAAACATCTAGATCAAAAACCTTCAGTAGGTTCATCCAATCTATGCTGTGAAATCAGCAGATTCCAGCTGTTAAAGATTGACTCAGCGATCCGGTCCTGACCTTTGACCCCGTCCCTCTGAGCAGATATGGTGGCAGTAACGGCGTTCCAACACACAGATAAAAACTGGCTCCACCAATCAGAGGAGATAATGAACACTGAGAATGTTCAGATCTAGAGGTTAAAGTCTAGATGGAGTCGGTCTCAGTGGGACAGAAAGATGATTCTAGAACGGCTCCTCAGGTCCACTGGAATCCCCGCAGCCAGTGGTCGATGCTTCCTCATTTTACCTCCACGTCTCCTTGTCCTCCTTCCTCTTTCCAGAGGATTTACTAAAATATCATCAGTATCTGATGGCGGATCAGATGATGTCATCGCTAGTCTCTGGTTTCCATGGAGCTCTCCAGGAGCCTCTGAATGTTCTCCAGGAGCCTTTGAATGTTCTCTCTGTGGTAAAGCCTGCTAATGCATTGTAAAGGAACCATCTCCACTAACCTCTTTCTTCCTGCTGTGTGACGCAGAACATCTGCAAAGCGCTGCGTTTCAGCTGGCGCTGCCTGCTGGCCGGCCTGCAGAGCATGGCGTCCTCCTACTCCACGCCGCTGTCCGCCGTGCCCACCGTGATGATGGAGATGAGGCGACCCGACAGCACCGTGGTCTGATGGACACGGAGCCGGAGACAGAGGGACACCTGGACCTCCTCCTGGTTCCTATGGACTGTAGACACCTGGACCTCCTCCCTGATGGTTCCTATAGACTGTAGACACCTGGACCTCCTCCCTGATGGTTCCTATAGACTGTAGACACCTGGACCTCCTCCCTGATGGTTCCTATGGACTGTAGACACCTGGACCTCCTCCCTGATGGTTCCTATAGACTGTAGACACCTGGACCTCCTCCTGGTTCCTATAGACTGT